AGAAGTTAGAGGGTTGATATGTTGTGGGGTTGTTAACCGATGTCATAAAACAACATGTGTACTTCTGTTTCATGAGAAACTATTTGTTATGTAAGCCTTCACCTGAATTACAATAAAAAAAGAAAAAAAAAAAAAAGCGTGGGTAGGACTTGTTAGAGAAGCGCAGTGCCATTTAGGATGGATGAAACTGTTGTAAGGATGACCTCATCAGTAGTCCACTCTGACAAAGAGAAGGAGTTGTGTAAAGGTGAGTAAGAGTGGATACAGGTAGGTAAGGACCAGCTGGAATACTTGAATAATTATCTAATTCTTTATAAAATGGGGATTACTTTAGTATTTAACACTTAGTTTTTTATTATAACAGTGTAAAATTCATATAAAAGTACAATTTGCATATAGCAAATGAATAGCATGCCTTTTTTTAATATAAATTTTAAACCCCATCCCTTGTGAAGCAGTAGCATTATTTTAAAATTTTAAGAAGGATTGAAATGTTCTCTGCGACGACGCCACCTCCTCACAGAAGCACTGTGAAGGCAGCGGTGGCAGCAAGGGCGGCCCAGCCATCTGGAAGGGAGGCATGGGTGTAGGGTGCCCTGCGGCCTCCGCCCGGCCGGACGAGCCCCAACACTGAGTGGATGGCCCCCTCCTGCAGCCATGGTCCACGCTCACCCACTGGCCCTCTTCCTAGCTGCCGCTCTCAGGTGCCAGGAGCAGGCCCAGACCACCGACTGGAGGGCCACCTTTAAGACCATCCGAAATGGCGTTCACAAGATAGACACGTACCTGAACGCCTCCATGGACCTCCCGGAAGATGAGGGTGGGCTCTGCCAATATAAGTGCATTGACGGGTCTGCACCCATGTTATGGTTGCAAACCGTCTCTGCCAAATGGATGAGGCTCTCCGCTGTTTCACATTAACACGGGCATCCCTTCCCTGACCAAGTGCTGCAACCAACACAACAGGTGCTACGAGACCTGTGGCAAAAGCAAAAGTGACTGTGACGAGGAGTTCCATTATTGCCTGTCCAAGATCTGAGATGTGCAGAGCACACTAGGACTAGCGTAGCATGTTTAGGCATGTGAAACAGCAGTGGTGCTCTTGTGTGACAGTGTTGTACATGTAGGCTGGGAACCACACCTAGACAGCCAAAGAGCCACAAACTGGTGTCGCTCTGAAGGAAAAACCGATCTTTAAAGATGCTGAGTGTAATAGCAGATGAAGATGAATATAACCTTTGACAAAGAACTGATGTTTTTATGTCATAGAACTGCCTTATTTTGTAGATGAATTATTTTCAGACCTTACAAGACTTTATATTTTGACATATCTCAAACTGAAAATAAAAAGATAAAAAAGGGTGTGGTGGGGGTGGGGAACAAGAGGACGCCTTCCCTCCCACCACCTCTCAGCTATCTTCCTGAGAGTTGCTGCCTTACTGTGCCAAATTATCTTGGCCGATACCAGAGACAGGTATGTGTTAAGGGGAGAATTGTTTAAAAGAAAGCATCTGCAGCTCAGTTTTTGCAACCATATTTACCAAAAAAAAGGAAGTCAAAATTAAAAGTTGATTATAAGATACGTTCAACATTATCTTAATTGGAAATATGAGAAAATCCTCACTTAGAAGTATATTAGTTTACTCTGAAACTTAAATACTTACATATTTATGCCTGGAGCTCAGACTGCTAGTCAAAAAGGTTCGCGGTTTGAATCTACCAGCCACTCCTTGGAAACCCTATGGGGCAATTCTACTCTGTCCTATGGGGTCACTGTGAGTCGGAATCTACTCAGCGGCACTCAACAACAACATATTTGTGCCTGGAAGGATCTGACTTCATTTTTTCTCTATTTTAATTACACATAATATGCTGTTTCTTTATAACCCATTTAGCGTATGAATAAGTAATGCTTCTATTAATGAAAGGACTATATATGGACAAGATTTCCATGTCGGTTTCTCTTATATGATTGGAACCATCAGCTGGTAACTTCTTAGGGAACAAAACTAGAACATCTAGGTATTACATATTATGCACAGAAGGTTACGTGAACGGGATTCAGAAGCACGACCACTCCTGTTTTATGAACCACTCATATGACAAACGTCCTATTTTATTATAGCCTTTGCCTAAATTGGAAAAAAGAATTTAATGAGGCAAATAAAAGTTGTTAAACACAACACACTTCAGAACACTGTATGCTGTTATGCTTTGGTGTTTTTTCCTTAGCACTTGTTCTCTTTTTTTTTTTTTACATAATATTTTAATTGTTTTTGGTGAAGGTTTGCACAGCAAGTTAGGTTCCCATTTGACAGTTTCCACACAAGTTGTTCAGTGACATTGGTTACGTTTATCATGATGTGCCAACATTCTCTTTAACAGTGTTCTGTTTGTTCTATTTCCAGTACTCTAGTTTCACTGCCCCCCATCTTCTCATCTTTACTTTTGAGTAAATGTTGATTTTGGTCTTATACAGACGGTTTTTAAGTAGAGCACCAATCTTACAGGTAATATCCTTTATTTTGTGTGCCGTTGTGCTATTTTGCTAAAAGGTGATTGCGGCTAGGCTCGGTTCTAGGTTTAAAGAGTGTCTCAGGGTGATAGTCTCAAGGAGTCCTCTGTTCTCTACTGTGCCAGTTTGGTGCTTTTTTTTTTCCTTAAGAATTTGTGTTCTGCTCCACATTTATCTCCCATTCTGTCTGGGACCATCTGTTATGACCGTGGTCAAAACAGTCAGTGGTGGTAGTCAGGCACCATCTAGTTCTTCTGTTCTCAGGGTAGATGAGGTGGTGGCTCGTGCAGACTTGTTTCTTCTCTGAGCTTTTGATTACCTTCTTACTGTTTTGCTCCTGGCGAGTAGAGACCAGTAGTTGTGTCTTAGATGGCCTCTCACAAGCTTTTAAGATCTCAGATGCTACTCACTTCACTAGGATGCAGATCATGAGTTCTGTGAACTATGTTATGCCGGTTGACTGAATTGTCCCATGAGACTGTGGTCCTAAGCTTTCAAACCCAGAAAACCAATCTTGGAAGGTGTTTGGTTGTGTCTGAGGAGTATCAGTGTTTGTGTCTTCAATGAATATATGTACCTGCACCTACATATTTATATATACATATAGGTACTTCTATAAGGAGCCCTTGTGGTGCAGTGGGTAAGCGCTCGACTGCTAACCAAAAGGTCAGCAGTTCGAACCCCCCAGCTGCTCTGTGGGAGAAAGATGCAGCAGACTGCTACTGTAAAAATTACAGCCTTGGACAGAGCTGGAGAAAAATGTAGAACAAAATTCTAACTCAAAAAAAAAGACCAGATTTACTGATCTGACAGAGACTGGAGAAACCCCGAGAATATGGCCACAGGGCACCCTTATAGCTCAGTAATGAAGTCATTCCCGAGGTTCACCTTTCAGCCAAAGATTAGACAGGTCCATAAAACAAAATGAGACTAAATGGGCACACCAGCCCAGGGGCAAGGATGAGAAGGCAGGAGGGGATGGGAAAGCTGGTAATGGGGAAACCAAGGTCGAGAATGGGTGAGTATTGACAAGTCGTGGGGTTGGCAACCAGTTTCAGAAAACAATGTGTATTAATTGTTTAATGAGAGACTAGTGTGCTCTAAACCTTCATCTAAAATACAGTTAAAAAAATTAAAAAAAAAAGAGTGCAGACTTGGAAACCTTATGTGGCAGTTTTACCCTGTCCTGTAGGGTCACTATGAGTTGAAACTGACTTGACAGCAATGGGTTTGGTTTTGGCTGGTTTTAGATACTTCTGTCTGTTCTTACCTAGGTACACACCTGTACCTACCTGTATACCAATGCCTATACCCATCCATATGTGCTCAGACACTCGTTTTTACTTCAGTTGTGCTGTGCCGTCTACATCCACGTTTGGTGCCACTTTTCCCATTGTCAGAAGGAACTAATCTTTACAATCTAAAGCGTGCTTTCCCCTCCCTTCTCTCTAGTAACCACCAATGAACATTGGTCTCTCTATATATATATCTGTTCTTGTCTTCTTATAAAAGTGAGATCATACATAATATTTGTCCTTAAATGATTGGCTTACTTCACTTAGCATTATGCGCTGCAGGTCCATCCATGTTATAATATGTTTCGGGATTCATCATTGTTCTTTATGGTTGCATAGTATTCCATTGTATATATGTACCATAGTTTGCTTTCCATTCATCCATTGATGGGCACTTCGGTTATTTCTGTTTATCTGCTATTGTAAATAAAGCAACAATGAACATTTAAAAAAAAAAGGATTAAAATTCTACTGGTAATAATAAAATAATTAAGTTATTTTTGTTTTTTTAGCTGGAGAAATCCCTGTTCAGTACTGTGCCCAGCCAACCAATGGCATGGTGTATTTCAGAGCGTTTTCTAGTTTAAACACACTTCCTGAAGAGCTAAAGCTGTACGTGCCTCTCTTCTGCAGTGTCCTGACCAAGTAAGAATCTGCTGTTTGGAACGAAGACACACAAATGTGTATATAATTTAACATATTTTCATGTATTTTATTAATAAACATTTTCTGTATGTATATTATATTGACAGTAATTCATTGATAGTAATGACTTCAGTGAATCATTTTATTTTTCAAAACAGTATTACATTGTATAAGTAAGGCCTATAATATATTTGCTTAGAATTTGTTTTCTTATGAAAATTATATTTTCTTACTGTAGGAGCTCAGACTGCTAACCAAAAAGGTCAGCTGTTTGAATCCACCAGCCACTCCTTGGAAACCCTATGGGGCAGTTCTACTCTGTCCTATAGGGTCGCTATGAGTCGGAATCAACTCGACAGCACACAATAGCAACACAATATATTACATTAAAATATTTCTGAATCTAGAGAATAAGGTAATACTTATAGACACATATATCTCAATGACTAAGTATTTTTTTAAGCGTTTGAAAAATGAATGTTTTTAATCAAAAAATTAAGTGATGAAATGTAAAATGTCGGCCTGAGGGTTAACCTTGAAACATCATGTCGCATACTCTGTTTCCTTAGTTTGCTTCTCAGCTAAGCTAAATTTGTAATCACTGCTCTTCTTTATAAGTAGATGTCTGTGAATATACTTGAAAATGTATGGGCAAGTACACGCACTGTTGTATAACCCTTTCCTTCTGCTCCATTTCAAGTGGCCAACAGTGGCAGGCTAAACTGGAGATAATTGTTAACTGCAAGCTTTATTTTTTTATATTGCAGGGAAATAAAGGGAGATCAAACAATTGCAGCAAGCTGTGTAGGGCCTATTGCCCGAGGTAGTTGCAGTCTTTGCATTGTGGAAATAAAAGTGTTTGCACATTGCAGAGAGCTAGATAAATGTGGGATCTTCTGGCTGAGTGTGTGATCAGATGAAGAAGGTCTTTGACCTTTGGAAAGTTCTCTGCCTCTTTTTTTTAAAAAGTTTTTATTTAAATATAGCTCTCTTTGCTTGTCCTTTTATGGTTGTAGTAGTTTTTGAAAAGCTGCACAGTTGTGGCCTTGACTTAAATTAGTTCTTTCACTAGGAGCATTGGTTAGAATGTTTCCTCGAAAAGCATCAATGCTGAGGTGACCAGCTTTTCTTAAAAACTCAAAGACTTATTCTTAGATCTCCTTCACCCCCAAAACTACCAGATATTTGAGCAAATAAAGTGTGTCAGAATGTTTTAGAAGAAGAAAATAGTAGGGAACGCTCATAAAATATTTAAAACCTTGGAACTGGAAAAGCATATTTTGATATTTTATTTTTAGAGCTAGACCCTGGCTGCTTAAGTCTCTGATAGAGTTCTGGGTGGAATTCCCTGCAGATGAGAAACTGATTTCCACCTGGGAGAGGGGCAGTGAACAGTCTTATACAGGGTTTATGTAAAAATGTGTTTGTGTTTTATAACTTCTGAATTGTACAGAAGAAAGAGAGGTTTGTGAAGGCTGTGGTTTATTGAATTAATTTAAGCAACTTGGAATTCAAAATGCATGACTTAAAAAATGTCATGGTAAAGATGACCTTGATAATGTAAGAAATCTTTCTTTGCTGTGATAGGCTGGGCTGTGGCATTCTTAACTATCGAGAACAAGCTCAACAGATTGAATTGAAAACAGGAGGAATGACTGTTTCTCCTCATGTGCTCCCTGACGATTCACATCTAGATACCTACGAGCAGGTGACATTTTATTTCTAGATCATGGTTATGCTCGAAAGTTTGTTTCTCCACTGTCTTTTGCTTTTTTCTTTTAAATTTACCTCATAATTAATGTTTCCTTTTGTGTTTGTTTGTTTGTTTTTCCTTTAATGATTTAGGGTGTGCTTTTTTCATCTCTCTGCCTGGATCGAAATCTACCAGACATGATGCATTTGTGGAGTGAAATATTTAACAAGTAACATTATTTGCAGAAGATATTAATTCTTGGGATATATCAGAAATCTAAGTCTGAAGTATTCTAAAAGTAGAAGATTTTACTCATTTGTTGGTTGTTGATTTTCTAACCTAATTTTATTTATAATTTCTATGGACTCTTGTAAAATTTCTGAGGATGTTTAAGTAGTCTGAAAATTTATAGTTTATAAATTTTCTATAATAGAGGGTATAAACATATATATATATATTTTTTTTCTCATAATAGGGAAGGGAATATGGATGGATCTTTCCAGGTCTTTATTATATTTTTCTTTTTCCATAGCCCATGCTTTGAAGAAGAAGAACACTTCAAAGTATTAGTTAAAATGAGTGCTCAAGAGCTATCAAATGGAATTCCCGATTCTGGTCATCTGTATGCAGCCATTAGAGCTAGCAGAACCCTCACACCTGCTGGAGACCTACAAGAAACCTTTAATGGAATGGATCAGGTGAGAATGTTTTAAGGGAACATTTGTATTCCGTTTGTATTCTGGTTTATTCACATCTTCCAAGGTTGTTAAAATACTCTCTGAATTATTTACATCTAGAAAAGTTAACCTTCTAATTGCCTAAATGTCATGTGGAAAATTTTATTTTAATTTACCTTTTGCTTTCTACCACCACCACTCCCAACCCGACCCCTCCCCTAAGCTGGACATCTGCACACACACAAGCCCCAAATCAGGCCACATCACATTCTCAAGTGATATCCTTGATATCAAGGATGTTTAGTTTTCAGACAGCGAAGATCTGCCTGTGGTTTCTACTTTGCTCAATGATATCTATCACTACATATTTGATTCCTTTGGTTTAGGTCAGGTTAATGAAGAGAATTGCAGAAATGACAGACATTAAACCAGTCCTGAGAAAGCTCCCACGTATCAAGAAGCATTTATTAAACTGTGATAATATGAGGTAAGGTTTTGTGATTTGTGTCTAAACAAAGGCCTTATGATTCATTCTACTTCTTTAAGTGTAGCTTTTAGAATTTTTTTACTTGAAGCCATAATCATAAAATTATATGAACTTATCTTTAAGACAAAAAGAAAACTTGATATCAGTGTTGGTTACAGAACTGATTCTAGACTTTAAATGTTCTATTAATAATTCATTTTCTGTGGAGAAAAAAAGGATATATTTTAAGTTTAATAAAATTATGGGAGGTGAGGGAGAAAGCACTCTAACTTCATCCTAAGACTGCAAAGTAGGTTCTTTGCAAATATTTAATGTTATATTGCTTCCAAAGTCAAGAGCAAAGTTATATAAACAAGGAATCAGTGAATCCAGTAAAGGATGGTTTGCTCAGGACGAAAGTAAAAACACAGACTTTCTCATAAGAATGATAATTATACAGTGGTTTGAAGAAAACATCCAGCAGCTCAGTCATACAATGGACCTTAGGCCCACAGATTTTTGAGGACAGTGAAATTTAAAAAATTATCATCAGTTTATTTTCAGTATCTTACTACTAGTGATACTAATTTAGTACTGGCTACTACTTAAACAAGAAAATGTTTCCTTAAACCACTTTTACTTCTACATAAAGAGTCATATACCTTCTATAACATACCCCAATTAATTCTTGGAAATCATGGCCAGATTCTACAAGATGGGTTCTGTGAGTAATAGGTGGTGGGGCATAGTGGTCGGTGCACAGGCTTTCTTATCAGGCAGACCTAACACAGCTATCTTGAATAACAACCATTTGCATCTTCTCTTTCCTTCTCCATGAAAGACTACTTTGCAGGTTGTTGTAAGAGTTAAAAGAAATAATATACGTAATGTAGTTAGTATAGTGCCTAGAATGTAGCTAGCACTAATTTAATGGTACTTTGTATAAATTTAGCTAAGGTAAATTTAGAATCTAGGACAGAAGGAAAAAAATACCCTCTGTCAATATACTGTATATTTTATATAACTTTTATTTGATAGTATTTGTGACTAATAAGATAATTTTCTATTTTAACAGCCAGTTTACATTTTCAAATGGTTGATTTCTCTTAAGCTTTTGATGTTCTCATAATATAAGTCTGAAGGCATTATTGATGGATCTTGATATCTTTGTTCTGTCAACCCCTTCAGAAGAGCATAGAGTTGAGAGTCAGAAAATCTACCTTTGCATCTAAACTGCTATTTGTTCTCTGTAATGCACTTAAACATGTGGAAGGTTTTTAGATAACTTGAAAGCACTCTAGAGAAGTAAGACAGCTATATTCTTTCCATACTAGACTTTTTTTAACATTTTTGAGTATGGTTTTATACAAAAATTACGTTATTCACTTTTATTTTTGTGTTATTTATAAAAAATGTAATGAATTAGTGAAATAGTATTTTTTGTAATGGTTTTATGTATATGTATCTATATGATTTTTTAAGCAGATGTTCAGTGAATGCAACTCCTCAGCAGATGTCTGAGACAGAAAAAGTAGTAGAAAGGTTCATTAAAAACCTTGGTCGAAGTAAAAAAGAACGAAAAACTGTCCGTCCACATGTGATTGAGGTAACAATAATAAAAATATAGATAGTTGTAATAGAGCACTTAGCATGTGCCGGATATGTTGCTGTTGTTAGGTGCTGTCGAGTTGGGTCCAACTCATAGTGACCCTAAATACAACAGAACGAAACTACCCGTTCATGCTCTGTCCTCATAATCATTGCTATGATTGAGCCCATTGTTGTAGCCCCTGTATCATTCTGTCTCCTTGAGGGTCTTGCTCTTTTTCGCTGACCCTCTACTTTACCAAGCATGATGTCCTTCACCAGGGACTGGCCCCTCAAGATAACATGTCTAAAGTGTGTGAGACAAAATCACATCATCCTTGCTTCTAAGGAACGTTCTGGTGGTACTTCTTCCAAGACAGATTTGTTCATTCATCTGGCAGTCATGGTATATTCAATATTCTCCACTAACACCATAATTCAAAGGCATCAGTTCTTCGGTCTTCCTTATTTGTTGTCCAACTTTTGCATGCGTATGAGGTGATTGAAAATACGATGGCTTGGGTCAGGTGTTCTTTAGTCCTTAAAGTGACATCTTTGCTTTTTAACACTTTAAAGAGGCCTTTTGCAGCAGATTTGCCCAGTGTGATAGAGCGTTTGGTTTCTTGACTGCTTCTTCCATGGGTGTTGATTGTGGATCCAAATAAAATGAAATCCTTGAGAACTTCAGTCTTTTCTCTGTTTATCATGATGTTGCTTATTGGTTCAGTTGTAAGGGTTTTTTCTTTTCTTTATGTTGAGGTGTAATCCATACTGATGGCTATAGTCTTTGATCTTCATCAGTAAGTGCTTCAAGTCTTCTGCTTTCAGCAAGCAAGTTTGTGTCTTCTGCATAATGCAGATTGTTAATGAGTCTTCCTGCAATCCTGATGCCACGTTCTTCTTCATATAGTCCAGCTTCTTGGATTATGCTCAGCATACAGATTGAATAAGCATGGTGAAAGGATACAACCCTGATACATACCTTTCCTGATTTTAAACCACACAGTATCCCCTTGTTTTGCTCAAACAGCTGTTTCTTGGTCTCTGTACAGGTTCCACATGAGCACAATTAAGTGTTCTGAAGTTCCCATTCTTCACAATGTTATCCATAATTTGTTATAGCTCTTTTACTTCATCACTTCACTTTGCTTTAGCTATTCTAGATTCAAGAGCAAGTTTCAGAGCCTCTTCTGATACCCATTTTGCCAAGTATAGTTCTGAATTTTTTTACATTTATTCATTCAATTCTGTGCATAAGTACTAATAGCCCCCTTGTACAGGTGAAGAAACAGGTACAGGAGGATTAAGTACTTGCCTAATATTGGCTCGCTCAAGGAGTGAATTCAAACACTAGTCTGGCCTTAGAGCCTGTACTCGCTGTTTGTTACTTATGCCTTATAGCAGTCTTTTATCCACACTTTGGTTTGGGATAGAGTACTGTAAGAATAGCCAAAAATAATGACTTATGGAGTCTGTCTCATTGCTGTTTGTCAGGTTTTAGGAGACACAAGATAGATGAAATGCATTCTCAACATGACTCAGTATTTCATGGCTTTCTCTCTAGAATAGTTATATCAAGTAGAAGTCTCATCAACTTGATTAACTTGTCAAGTGGGTTTTAGTCTAATTCTTTAACACAACTATCAGTACAGAGGAGCCCTGGTGGTGCAGTGGTTAAGAGCTTGGCTGCTAACCAAAAGGTTGGCAGTTTGAATCCACCAGCTGCTTCTTGGAAACCCTATGGGCAGTTCTACCCTGTCCTATAGGGTCACTATGAGTCGGAATTGACTCATCGGCAACGGTTTTGGTTTGGGTTGTTTTTTTTTTATCAATAGAGGAGCCGTACTTTATCTTCTTACTGTAGATTCTTACAGTCTGCAGGCTGACAGTCTCTAGATTTTTCAGAGGAGTTATTTCTAATATATTCTGTGTTGATATTTCTATATCCCTTATTCTATTTATAGATTGATATACCTGCCTTCCCATTCTATCTCATTAATCAGTTGTAGGAATAGAGTGTACAAAGGGGCTTACTGTTTCTTTGTGCCTTCCTCTGACTGTAACCCGTTCAATTTATGTAGCCTGTTGTTCTGGAGGCAATTTTATGACTAGAAGATGCAAAGGAAGAAAAAAAAACTTATAATATTTGCCCTTGTGATGTACAAGGACTTAAGTCACCTCTAACACTTGTTATTTGGTCTGTGAATTTTATCATATGTTCCTCTGTATCTGTTTCAAGTGAGTTTTGGATTTTTCTCATTTATCTTGGAAATACTTATTTTCAGAAACCTGCATATAATGGATCTAGTGGAAGTACATATGTTAATGGCTCCCAAATCATAAGAAAGCTAATCACAGTAAGTTAATACAATTTAGTATAACTTCAGAATAAACCTAGCTTGTATGTTCAGAACCATGTATCTAAAGGCTCTCTGATTGTGAATTTTTTTCTCTCTAAGCCATTCCTGGGGTTGGGTCATGCCCTTAGAATTGCTAGTTAATTACCTGTTTTCCTCACTGCCACCCTGAGTCCATCCGTCCGTCCTTAGAACAGAGCTGAGTGAACGCCCTCTTCTTGGATTAACTCTTCCTAGTGTTCATAAAGATGTTGGTTACTCCAAACGTTCTCGTTACTTTGCAGTTTGCCTTTAATATAACTTCCCACGTAGAGTTAATGTTAGTTCAGCTTCACTTAAGCGGTGAGATCTCTTTCTCCTTTTTCAGCTTTGGTAATCGTGGCATTCAGTTTGGTTTGTCATAGGGTATAGCAATGTTATAGCAATGTAACATATTCATGGGGAAAAATGAAAAAAATGAGATCCCCCAAATAACTACTGGTATAAATGATGTAAAATAAAATGTTCCTAATAGAATAATAATTTCATTGTAAAGCATCGTGTCAGGATTGGAATATTTCATGTTAGCTTTAAAGTGAAAAATTGTGTGGAATGACATAATTATCAGTGCCTTTTCATAGGATATAGTAAATTGAGATATGATGTAAAAATGTTAGCATCTGTGGACTATATTATAATAATGCAGCCTAATTTGAATGAGGCCCCTTTATTCCTTAGGACCCCACTTTCAAACCATGTCAGATGAAGACGCATTTTCTGCTTCCGTTCCCAGTGAATTATGTTGGTGAATGTGTGAGAACCGTTGCTTACACAGACCCAGATCATGCCAGGTATGATGTGCAAAGGTGAAAATAGTGACTCTGAGGTCCCTTGATCATGCTGCATTCTATCATCTGTGCATAGCTTATCTGACACATCAGAACATAATAAGGCATGTTTTGCTTTACAGAAATTTTTTTTGTATTTGAATTTTGAACTCCTGTGCCATTATGATGGTGCTCTTATCATTTATAGAGTCTAAGTTCCTAGACTGTATCCAATCAAAAAGAGCTCGTATATAGAAGAGTCGCAATACAGATACTGAATATTCTTTAAAAAATAAAATCTTTATGAACAAACTGCCTAACTTTATATTTTTATTTTATTTTTCCAAACAATATATATCCCTCTGAGCAGTCCTGTACGCAAAACAGATACCCATGAGCCTAAACACAAAGTTGTTTTAACATGCCCCATTTACTCCCTTCACTTGTAAGTAAAAATTGCTTATAATAAGACTGCAGACTTCCGTTAAACATGGCAGATTGAGCATGCATGCTTATATTTGAATTCTCTAATAACCCCACTAAAATGACAATAAAGAAGTAAAAAAGGCATGAAACCACGAGGAAAGAAGAATGGGAAGAGAGATGACAGGCAGTAGTAAGAGGTGCAGAAAATTTTTTAAAGGTCGAAAGTAGACAGACACGTAGTAAGAGAGCTTTCTCTCTCCCAGTAAGAAACTGCAAAGGGAGAAGACAAAAAGAAGAAAGCCGATTTGTACTGCAAAGCCTTGTAAAAGCACAGGAATTGGAGACAAACAAAAGATGGGAAAACAAGATGAATGGAAATTGAGGACTTATTTGAAAGTTGCTGTAAGGAATAGTTAGAAGCCTAGGTCTCCTCCCCCACATCTATGAAACTTTGAGAAGAGGCTCAGGATTGAGTGACAGGAGTTAGGTGTGTTACTGGAAATAGGAGCCTTCTGTGAAATGTACAGCCTGAATAGTGAGACCCTCCCAGCCCCTTCCTCTGATTTGCTCCCAGAATTGTGGCTGCCAGGCTTATACTTGCCCGTTCTTCTCTGGGGAAACTGGCCACACCAAGAGAAAAGACCTTCAGAGACAGACCTTTTGGTACCCCCTAATTAAAAGGCTGTGCCCTTACCTCATTACCCATCATGAGACCTACCAATTCTTAAGTTTGTGCAGTTTCTCATCGAATTTTAGTGCCCTCTTAAATAAGAGTACATTGCCAAGGACTGCCAGCCATTTGAGTAAAGCTTTAAAGGTGAGATGCAAAATCAAAATGAACCAAAAGGAAAAGGGAAGTGTTAGAAAATAGGTATTGCAGTATACTTTCTGTTGCAGGGATCAAAAACATGTATATTATGTGAATGTGTATATATGTGTAAAATATTCATGGAGAGATAAGATAATGCATCCCTGACACAAGAACAAGATGGTATAGAAAAGGAACATTCAAAGGACAAGAAATCAAAAGTATGATAGTTAAAAACCTTCAACAGCAGGTTGGAAAGGTAAAGTTGAGAAAATTTCCTTTCCTAGAAGGTAGGAAAACGGAGAAAAGCAGAGGGGAAGTGGAGAGTTAATTCAGATATACAGTAACCAATAATAAGAATTCCAGAAAGACAGAATTGGAAAAAATGAGGAGGTGTAAATTAGAAAAGAAAAAGTACCAGAAAATTTGCCAGAACTAAAGGCCATGAGTTTCTAGATTGAAAAGGCTCATTGAGTATCTAGCATGATGAATGAAAAAAAAGACCCACCTATATCCAGGTACACCACTGAGAAATTTCAGAGCATCATAGATGAAACGCTTTTTAAGTTTGCAGAGCAAAAATGGTCAGTTACAGAATCTGAATGGTATTAGGCTTCTGAATATCAAAACTGGATGATAGAAGAAAATAAATCAATGGTTTCAAAATTCTAAAGGAAAATCATTTCCAACCTAGGGTTCTGTACCTATTGAAGCCATCAAAGTGTGAGTGTAGGGTGAAGATCATTGCAGAAGTGCAGTGTCCCAAAAAGTATACTCCTGTGTACTGTATCAGGAAGCTACTAGAGGAAGTGCCTTACCCAAATGAGGGATTAAACTAAGAAAGGAATATATGGCACCCAAGGAACATGAATCCAAACCATGAGAGAAGGGAAAGGAAGTCTACTATTTAGTAGAAAAATGTAAATTTAAAACACTAAAATGTTACAGGTGGTTACCTTCTGGGTAGTGGGGTAAAAAATATTTTCCTTTTTTTTTTTTTTTTTGTATTTTGTAATTTCTCAACAGTGAACATGTATTTTTTATGTAACAATAGACATTTCTAAAGAAAAATAAATACATAAATAGATAAAAATTATGTCTTTGTCGGCAAGTCTGGAAGCACCAAACTTCACAGGCATGTAACCTCAAGGGCTGACATTCCCACTTTCTATTAATTTCCAGCTGATTAATATTTCAATAAAAAACAAACCATTGAGTGAAACCTTGTGCTCGTGGTACTCCGTGTTTCTGCTAACTGACTCAGATGAGAATAGGATGGCTTTTTCTCCCATCATGGTCTTCATGAGCATGCTTGTATTCATTCATTTAATTTCTCATCTGGCCTATTTCATTCTCTTCATCTGTTTTAGAACAAGGTTAGTCAGCAGGTCATGTGATCTGGGACCTAAGTGTTTAGCACAGGCATAACAGACCTGTATCCTTCCTGCTGAATATTACTCAATCATCGCTTACTTGTCCAGCAGTGTTGGAATATGGCTCTGTTCTGTCTTCTGCCATATGGAGATGCTTTCTACAGTCAGCCCTTTTCTCTTCCAGTGGATCAGATACTGCCGTTCATAGTGGAAGTCAGCAGAAAATATGCTTCATTTATAGAAATTTACTTTCTGTAGGGGAGGTATACCTATAAAAATCAATCTAAGAGATTTACATTAATTTCCTTCCCCCTCCCCATTTTCTGATATGGGACATATAAAATGTATGATCATACCTTTATTTGCCTTAGCAATAAAAAGTTGCTTGTTTTTTACTTTACCATATTTTTAAAATGCATATAAAAACCCATTGCCCTTGAGTCGATTCGAACTCATAGTGACCCTATAGGATGGAGTAGGACTGCCCTGTACAGTTACCAAGAAGCAGCTGGTGGATTTGAACTGCAGACCTTTTGGTTAGCAGCCAAGCTCTTAACCACTGTGCCACCAGGGCTCCAAAATGCATATAGTACATGTATATTATTAAGCTACATATACAGATCAGAAATGTTTGAAGAAAAAGTTTATTTTGTCTCTCTACCGCTCTTCCTCCAACCCCCAACTCCTACCTCCCAGCCCCTGGAATCCAAGGAAACGATTTGAAAATTATTCTTCTTCACTTTTTCTCTTAGTTTTCTTGTTGTTTTAGTTAAATAGAACAGTGTGACCATAAGGTGTACATTACTTTACAACTTGACTTTTTGTTTTTGCTTAATAATGTTCTCTACTTTAGATTATGTTATATATAATACTTCCCTATCAGTCATATTTTCTAACTTGCATTTTTTAATCACTAATTTCAGCCTTAAGATCCTTGCACGTTTGATGACTGCTAAATTCTTACATACAGAAATTCGAGAAAAAGGCGGTGCCTACGGGGGCGGTGCTAAACTCAGCCGTGATGGAGTGTTCACTTTCTACTCCTACAGGTAAGCTTTCCCCTGATTATACGCACGTACACCAGTTTCACTTCTAGTAATTTGCTCTGCTAATTATCAGAATGTCATTATCTTATATATTGGTGTAGACTTAGAAAAAGAGCACTTGTTTACACTCATTTTTTTTTTTTTCTTTCAATTCTTCAACACTTAACCACAGCCAGCAATATCCTTTCTGTTGTTAGGTTTTAGGGACAGTGGTATATAAATGAAACATTTTACCTTATGTAAATCCTAGTTGGATGTCTACTATATTTACGTAGAAGACATTCTCAGAGCTTTCTGGACTAATTTTAATTGTAGAGGCGTGTGTGGGTATTGTTAAGTTTTCATAGCCACAACACTATTACCCTTTTATTTAATTATTAATCTTCTGTGATCCTACTTCCTGAAAATTGTATTTTCACACCTTTAAGGAAAGGGATGAATTGTTTGCTGCCACCCTGATGCAATTCTCCCTTTGCTCTTGACTGTGATACTTAGTGAATCCATTTGTGTTAAGAACTTTGCTTTTAGATAAGGATATAAACAAGGTATGACCCCTCCTGTGAGTCTCTATATAAGACATATTTATCCTACAGTAATATGAATAACGGGCTATGGGAGCTCTGTTTCCATTCAGACAAAGTGAAGTATCTCAAAAATTGGTCCAACTATACATAATTTCTAGATTATTCTGGATATGTCTTGTAGAAGTGAAAACTTAGTTTTCATTTAACCTTAACTTTTTTACGTGTTTTTTTGTGCCATCAAGTCAATACCAACTCATGGCAACCCATGTGCCTTCCCTTAATTTCATTGGAATCTAGGCTTTCTTCCTTCCACCTGACTTCTTGTTCTGTTGAAATCATAAGGAAACAGAGATGCATTTAAATAATCTGGTGACTAAGACAGATAGATCACGTCCCTAGGTAGAGGGATAATGTGTTGAATGGTTGATGTGGTCACATTTGAATTTTGACTGATTAGGAATTGATTTTTATCAGTGGGCTCTTTGGACTGTGAAGCATTAAAATAGAGCCTTAATGAACAGAAAATGATGAGGGACTGTTAAGTCAACATGATTGTGATTTATTTTCCCACTGGTAAAATGTTTGAAAATTTAACCTTTTGGATTTTCTAGGGATCCAAACTCAATAGAAACTCTCCATTCTTTTGGGAAAGCTGTTGACTGGGCTAAATCTGGAAAATTCACACAGCAAGACATTGATGAAGCAAAACTTTCAGTGTTCTCAGCTGTAGATGCTCCTGTTGCTCCTTCAGACAAAGGTATCTTGAGTAAATAATGAACTTGATAAATTATATTACTAGACAGAATTTCACACAACTGAGTTTTCCAAGTTATTTTTTCCAAGCAAAGAAAGATTTGCTTCTTTGCACACATGGACCAAAAGCAGCAACACTGTCATTTTTGATAAACTACTTGAGTTCTTCCCCCATCTCCTTATCCTTTTCCTTTATGACTTTCATATTTGGCAACCAAACACTGACCTTGAAAATACGCTCCTTGACATAGTTTTTATTTTAGACCAACATCCAGGCACGGATATCTTGGTATTTGCCATTTTAAAAGAATTGAATCATGTCGTTTTAGAGCCTAAATGATCCAAGCCTGGGAGGTTAACTGACTTACCCAAGGTAACATAACTTGCTAGCTCGGGTTGAAGGAGAGCATTTTGACACGGCACCTTAATGGCCACATTACTCTAAAAGTCATGTTGGCTTATAACTGTATCAACTTTATGTGACCCTTATTCATTCTAATTCCCAGTCAGTAGTGAGGAGTCAGGTTCTGAGATGCAGTAAAGATGGAATAAGAGAAGGTGAAGCTTTATTTAAACTTACAGACCATGTAAATATTTCTCTTTTGTTGGAATATGTACATAAAGTACCCATGTAACAATGTCAGTATCCCAACCAAGATGTCCGCACAAGAGTTTGCTGCTGTATGCCATCACTGTAGCAATTCACATGTACCTTTCTTAACTCCAGGTATGGACCATTTCTTGTATGGACTCTCTGACGAGATGAAGCAGGCACATAGGGAACAGCTCTTTGCCGTTAGTCATGACAAGCTTACTGATGTGAGCAATAAGTGAGTATACATGGTGTGGCTCAACATACTCAGTGAGGAACAGAAGTTCTTCATGTAGGAAGTGGTACTAATTTATCACCTGTTTCTTCTTTCTAGGTACCTTGGCATTGGGAAGTGCACACATGGGTTGGCTGTACTTGGACCAGAGAATGCAAAAATTGCTAAAGACCCATCATGGATAATAAGATAACTAAGCCTGTGAGCTAAATTTAATTCTGACCTTTAAGTTGAAAGGTCAAAAATGTTACAGGTCTCTTACAAAATCTTGATCACATACTGTTCTTAAAATTTTGCCAAATGTATTGACTGGCAAGTCAGACCTAAACTCTTTCATCTTAAAGAAGGAGAAAACACAAAAAAGTAATTTAATTGAAATAATCATGTGTTAAATGCCAAAGATGCACAAAATTATAATTTTAAAACTTTCCAATGATATAAATGCTTATTTTACGTTAACCCTAGAACATGCAATTTCAGTGATTTTAAAATAAAAGGGAACTCTGACCTACCTGTGTTTTATTATTTTAAATAACATTTTGCTAAAATAGTAATTTTAGGGCCTTTATTAAAAAACAAATGAATAAAACGAATGAACAAAGCTATTCCACAGCCCTCCCTTGATTTACAGACATCAGTGGTCACACCAAGGACCTTTGGGAAGGTCTTTGTAACAGACATGCATTAAACAGGGTAGCCTGATAGGAGTCTAAGGACCAAACTCCTGTTTATACCACCATCTTTAGAGAACTAAGTATGTTTTGGATTAATATTAACATAAGCTTTTCCTGATTTTTCATTACTTAAGGGATCTGTTTCTCATGTTACATACCTTATGTTTTTCAGACAGAAAAACTTCTCACTACTAGCTCTCTTGTCATTTTGTCCCCAGGTTTCCTAAACAAAATGTATTTTTGAGTATCTACGGTCTCTATACATTAACACTCCCACATCCCCACCTTTTTATTTTCCATTTCTGGTATAAAGATGGTTATGTTATTTTTAGAGACTAGATCTGAGAATATAGACTGTGGAGAAAACAGGCAAAATACTTTTTAACTACAGAAACTAAGACCCACCTGCTCAGGTGATTTTCCTCTAAACTGCCCTCAGTGAAATATGGCTGTTACCCAGCTTCTTTTCCCTACCCGTAATTTTGCAACAATGGGCTCAAACATAGCAATGATTGTGAGGATGGCACAGCACTGGGCACCATCTTCTTCTGTTGTACACGTGGTCGCTATGAGTCAGAACCGACTTGACAGCACCTAACAATTTTTGTACCTGTAGACTAGAATATAATCTCTTTGCCTCCAATCTTGATGTAGCCAAAATTGAAAACAGAGCTAACAGTGAGTAGTCCTGGCACCATGAGACTCCCGTGGAGAGCTTAATCTAGGTGCCAGCACCAGAGTATGAAGTGGTTGGAGGAGAGCCTGGGTACTAGAAATTCTTTTTAGAAACTCCCTGGTGTAACTAGGATTGAAATCAAAAGTGTATGAGATTCCATTATTCTTAAGGCATATGTTCGTATTTTTTTAATTTTGAATTCTACCCATTGTATAACTTTAAAAGGAGAAAGCACAGCTGGAGTTACGTAGCCTAGCTCCATTAGTGGCAGAGCCAGGGCCAAACATCCATATCATGGATTGAATTGTGTTCCCCAAAAATATCTGTCAACTTGGCTAGGTCATGACTCCCAGTATTGTATGACTGTCTACCATTTTATCATCTGATGTGATTTCCCTGTGTTATAAATACTATCACTGTGATGTAATAAGATGGATTGCTGGCAGTTACACTGATGAGGTCTACAAGATTAGGTAGTGTGTTAAGCCAGTCTCTTTTGAGATGTAAAAGAAGTGAGCAGAGAGACATGGGAACCTCATACCACCAAGAAAGCAGTGCCGGGAGCAGAGCATGTCCTTTAGACCTGAGGTTCCTGCACAGAGAAGTTCCCAGACTAAGGGAAGATTGATGACACGGACCTTCCTCCAGAGCTGACAGAGAAAGCGTTTCCCTGGAGCTGATGCCCTGAATTTGGACTTGTAGTCTATAGGACTGTGAGAGAATAAACTTTTCTTTGTTAATGCCATCCACCTGTGGTATTTCTGTTACAGCAGCACTAAATGACTAAGACAATCCATTTTTCTTGATCTAGTATCTTTTCAGCGTATTAACTCTTAGTATGGGGCTGAAAACCAGTTGCCATCAGTTCCGACTCATGGCGACCCCACGTGTGTCAAAGTAGAACTGTGCTTCACAGGGTTTTCCTTCTAAAAGTTTTATTTTGTTGTTAATGATGTACGTATCAAAACATACACCAATTCAACAGTTTCTGAATGTACCATTTAGTGACGCTGATTACATTCTTTGAGTTTTGCAACAATTCTCACCCTCCTTTTCTGAGTTGTTCCTCTTACATTAACATAAACTAACTGCCCCCTAAGGCTCCTATCTGATCTTTCAAGTTGCTGTTGTCAATTTGATCCCATATATAGTTCTTAAAACAGCATAGTGCTTAAGGCAGACACTTTTTACTAGTTAAGCTAAACTATTGTTTGCTTTTAAGAAGACTTCGGGATATTTTTGGTTTAAGGTTTTAAAGATTATCTCAGGGTAAGAGTTTCAAGGGGTTCATCCACCCTCCATGGCTCCAAAAAGTCTAAATAGAGACCATGAAAATTTGAAATTCTGTTCTACATTTTCCCCCTTTTGATCAGGATTCCTGCATGGAATCTTTGATCAAAATGTTCAGTAATGGTAGCCGGGCACCATCCAGTTCTGCTCTCATGGCAAAGGAGGCAGTTGTTCATGGAGGCAATTAGCCACATATTCCAAATCCTCCTATTCCTGACTCTTCTTCCTTTATTGCTCCAGGTGAACAGAGACCAAATGTTGCATCTTGGATGGCTGCTTGCTTTTAAGACCCCAGGCACGATAGAACAAGCTAGGAGGTAAAACAGAAGCACTAAACACGTTATTAGGCCAGTTAACTGGGATGTCTCATGAGACCATGACCCTAAACCTCCAATCCAAGGAACCAAATTTTTTTTTTTTTGGTCTGTCCTTGTAAATACATCTGTCACTTTTGCCAGTTCAACTTTTTACAGGTGTACAACTTACAGCAATTAAAATAATCAGCTGTGCAACCCTACCCTTAATTACTGTGATTTTTCCATCACTGTTAACCTCCTTTTTCTCCTCCCTCCCACCCTTGGCAACCACTAATAAACTTTGATCTCTGTACATCTGCCTTTTCTTGTCTTTTTATACAAGTGAGGTCATACAACATTTGTCCTTTATGATTGGCTTATTTCACTCAGCATAATGTCTTCAAGCTTCATCCATACTGTAGCATGTATCAAGACTTCATTTCTCCTACTGGCTGAGTAAGTCTTTCATTGTATGTATGCACCACATTTTGTTTATCCATTCATCTGCTGATAGGCATTTAGGTTGTTTCCACCTTTTGGCTATTGTGCATAGTGCTGCAGTGAACACTAGTGTACAAGTCCCTTTTTGAGTCTCTGAAGTCTTCTGAGTATACATCTAGGAGTGGAATTACTGAGTCATACAGTAGTTCTATTTTTAGTTTTTTTAGGAACCTCTACACTGTTTTCCACAATGGCTGTACCATTTTACATTCCTGCCAGTAATGGGTAAATGTTCCAGTTTTCCCACATCCTTGCCAACATTTGTTATTTTGTTTTTTTTTAATCTTAGCCATCCTAGTGGGAGCAAAATGTTATCTTACTGTGGTTTTGATTTGCATCTCTCTGATGGCTAAAGATGCTTAGCATCTTTTCATGTGTTTGGTTGGAGCTTTAGCCAAATGCTTAATTCCACTAGATACATACATTTTAAAACATGACGCAAAATACAAAGTGCAATGGACAACTAAAAAAAAAAGTGAGTGCAGTATATATTTTATTTTTTTATTGTATCAGAATATGGATGATATTGGTGCCTGATACTAAGTAGGTATTAATGTCAACAGTACTTGGTCAACAATGCTTGCATAAAGTGCCAATAAATAAACGTTTCAAAAACATCTAAAGCATCTAGACATACAGTATAGCTCTGGAGTCAGGATGAACATGTGGGTGTTTAAATCCCTGCAGATTCCTCTTGAGGATGGAGATGCACATGCTCGAGCTGGCCAGAATCAGAAACATCGTAGCTTGCTTTGTACTTAGCCAAAATTTTCATTACAGGCCTCAGTTTCAACCACCACTGTTCTTTGGGAATTCTGTGCCTGTGAAGGGAGAAAAAACAGCAGTAACTATTACACCTGTTGCTGTAAGAACTTCTGACTCCCTCTGTTACTGTGGCTAGCATGTAATAATCTATGCTCTGTATACAGAACATAGTGTTTGTGGAGTCCGCTAAATAAATTATTATAAAGCAATTTCCATAGGTTAACCATTCTGTTTATATTTCTAAAAATTCTGCCCTGTTTCTAAAGGTCTAGTATTTTTTAACTTGGCTTCAGAAAGGCTAATCTGTTACTTAAAATAGCTATTATAGTGCAGTCCCTTTATGTTTCATGCCTCCCATTATCTTATCAGCAATAAGACAGAATGTTTAATTTGTTTACTTACACGAAATCCGTGTCCTTCTTTAGGTCTGCCACTGATTGAAAAACAAGGTTTCTTTTGCTTATTCCCAGCACACAGACTGAGTCATCAGTTACAAACTTTCTTCCTATAAGAGTAAAAAAAAAAAAGAACTAATAATAATACTTCATGTTGAAATTGACAGATAAAATGGCATATGAAAGAAAAAAAGGTGAGGAGAGAAGAAGAAAGGTTTGCTAACGTTAGGGAACAAAATCACCTTGGGGACATTAAAAATTCAGATTCTTAACCATCCTGGAGTGGAAGCAAAGGGAATTCACATTCTTAACAAGTATTATTGATAATTCTGCTGGGGTGGTGTGGATTAGGAGCCTGGGTGGCAGAAGCAGTTTGCAGTCATCTAGATTAGTAGCTGCTAATCTAAAGGTTGGTGGTTCGAACTCACCCAGTGGCTCCACAGGAGAAAGGACTGGCAATCTGCTTTCGTAAAGGTTACGGCCAAGTAAACCCTATGTAGCACAGTTCTGCTCTGTAACACGTGGGGTTGCCATGAGTCAGAATCGATCAGGCAACAAGTTTGGTTTTGGTGTGGATTACATTTGAGAAGCGGTGTTCTCTAGTCACTGGGTGACATCCACTAGCACAGATATGTTAATAAGACATCACTGCCCAGTGGCCTCTGTTTCCTCCTGCAGTTGTTACCCTTTAAGCATCCTCGAGTCCCTTTAGGATGAGGGAAGATGAAGGCAAAGGGGAATAACTGCCAGGCTGTACTGGAGGCTTCCTTATTTCCTGCAGTCACCGTGAGGGGAGCTACTTACATGCTACTTAGCAGCAATCCTGCCACCAAATGCAATACGCCATTCATGTTAAGAAGCTTTTTTCACAGTTTGTGCTGAACAAATACTTCACTAAATACTGGAATAGGAATATTGGCTTACATTTCAGAAAGAAGAAGTCCAGTTAGATTTTAAGGAGCTTATGCTCGTGAGAATCGTAAGACCCTTTTAAGTGTCATCAAGATAACATGAAATGTCCACAGGAGTCAAGGAGAAAGTATAAAGTCTATCCCCCACCTCGCCCCAGTAACACAGAAAGCGGAGTCCCTGGGTGGTACAAATGGTTTAAGTGCTCGACTACTGGCCAAAAGGCTGGCAGTTCAAACCCATCCGGATATGCCTCGTGAGACAGGCCTCACAATCTGCTTCCCAATGGTCACAGCCTTGAAAACCCTATGGAGTTCTATTCTACACACGCGGGATCACCATGAGTCGGAATTGACTTCACAGAAACTAACTACAGCAGCAAATATAGAAAGCTAATTATCTGGATTGACCAGCCTACTAGATATATCTAAAAATAATACAAAAACATAAAAAACTGCCCACCTACTCCCCAGATCAATCTGTCCTCTGTGGAGGCAGTAAGTTGTATGTTTTTGGGAGGAGAGAGGCTGATGGTGGCCTAGTCTGGATAGTACTGTTGAGGAGTCTCAGGACAGGCGTGTGCAATGCCAACGTGTGTGGTGACAACAGTCAGAGCACTAGTGGATAATGAATTTAAAAGCTTACACGGAATACTTACAAAAATTGAGCACATACTGGGATATTACTAAGCAAAGATCATCATACACTTATAAACAACTCTTGGGTCAAAAAAGGCATCATAAGAAGAACTTTGAAAATATTTTGAAGTGGCTAATAACAGGAAATTTATAGCATTAAATACATATACATACTATGAGAGGCTGAAAATTAATGAGATAAGCGTCGATAGAGAAATTGGGAAAAGAAGAAAATAAATCCACAGCATAAAGCAGAAATTAGTGTAGAAAACTATTAGTAGAAAGAATCAAAGCTAAAAGTCAGTTCTTTGAAATTACTAAAAGTAAGTTGAGATTATTTACACTACCGTTCTTGTACATTGAATGCTGTTTGTAAGTGAAACACTGGAAATTTTATATGGTTTACCCTAATCAAAACATCACACATCTGGTATTACTGACCAAGAAAAATGAGGAGGGAGAAGTTGAGGTAAAGATATTGGCACAAATAACCAGTATTATGGGGGACTAGAAATGCTGCAAACATTGAAAAGAGGTATATTATGAAAAAACTCATGCCAATTTTTTTGGAAAATTTAGATGAACAGAAAAATATCTTACAAAACTGATTCAAGAATGAAAAAAAAAAAAAAAACTATGACTAGTTCTATAAACATTAAAGAAATTCACTCAGTGAAATCTTCCCAAAAAGAAAAGTTAAGGCCCAGATGGACAGTTTTACAGGTGAGTTCTATCAATCTCCCCCTGCAAAAAAAAAATCCAGTCTTAAAAAAAATTATTTTCAGAGGGAAGATCCTTACTTACAAATGTTCCTGATCACTGATATAAAAAGCCTATAGAAAGCAATTGTAAATTAAATCTAGCAATGAGGAAAAGATGGTACGTTATGACCAAACAGAGTTTATCCCAGGAACTCAAGGCTGGTCTTATCATGAGAAAAAGCAAAGTAGTTCACCACATTAATAGATTAATGAATAAAAATTATATAATCATCTCTTTTGACAAAAACTAGTTTATAAAATCCCCCATGAGTCTGTCAGTTTGTCATTCTGTGGGGGCTTGTGTGTTCCTGTGATGCTAGAAGGTATGCTACCGGTGTTCAAATACCAGCAGGTTCTTCCATGTTTCAGGTTTCAGCTGAGCTTCCACACCAAGACAGACTAGGAAGAAGGACCTGGTGGTCTACTTCTGAAAAGAATTAGCCAGTGGAAACACTATGAATAGCAGCAGAACATTGATATAGTGCCAGAAGATGAGCCCCTCAGGTTGGAAGGCACTTGAAAGACAACTGGGGAAGAGCCGCCTCCTCAAAGTAGAGTTGACCTTAATGATGTGGATGAAGTTAAGCTTCTGGGACCTTCATTTGCTGATGTGGCACAACTCAAAATGAGAAGAAACAGCTGCAAACATCCATTAATAATTAGAACATGGAATGTTTTAAGTATGAATCTAGGAAAATTGGAAATTGTCAAAAATGAAATGGAATGCATAAATATTGATATCCTAGGCATTAATGAGCTGAAATGGACTTGTATCAGCCATTTTGAATCAGATAATCATATGGTCTACTATGCTAGGAATGACAACTTGAAGAGGTATGGCACTGTATTCATTGTCAAAAAAGAACATTTCAAGATCTATCCTGAATTACAACACTGTCAGTGATAGGACAATATCCATACGCCTACAAGGAAGACTAGTTAATATGACTATTGTTCAAATTTACACACCAACCACTAAGGCCAAAGATGAAGAAATTGAAGATTTTCACCAACTTCTGTAGTCTGAAATTGATCGAACATGCAATCAGGATGCATTGATAATTGCTAGTGATTGGAATGCAAAAAGCTGGAAAGAAAGAAAGAAGGATCGGTAGTTGGAAAATATGACCATGGTGATAGAAACAATGCTGGAGATGTCATGATAGAATTTTGTAAGACCAACGACTTCTTCATTGCAAATACCTTTCTTTAACAACATAAATGGCGACTATACATGTGGACCTGGCCAGATGGAATACAAAGGAATCAAATCGACTACATCCGTGGAAAGAGACAATGGAAAAGCTCAATTTCATCAGTCAGAACAAGGCCAGGGTGGACTGCAGAACAGACCATCAATTGCTCATATGCAAGTTCAAGTCAAAGTTGAAAAACATTAAAGTTCAGGAGACCCAAAGTACGAACTTGATACATCCCACCTGAATTCAGAAACCATTTCAAGAATAGATTTGATGCGTTGAACACTAATGAGCAAAGACCAGATGAGTTGTGGAAGGACATCATACATGAAGAAAACAAGAGGTCATTAAAAAGACAGGAAAGAAAGAAAAGACCGAAAAGGATGTCAGAAGAGACTCTGAAACTTGCTCTTGAACATCGAGTAGCTAAAGCAAATGGAAGAAATGATGAAGTAAAAGAGCTGAACAGAAGATTTCAAAGGGCAGCTCCAGAAGACAAAGTATTATAATAAAATGTGCAAAGACCAGGAGTTAGAAAACCAAAGAGGAAGAACATACTTGGCATTTCTCAAGCTGAAGGAACTGAAGAAAAAATTCAAGCTTTGAGTTGCAATATTGAAGGATTCTGTGGGGAAAATATAAAACAATGCAGAAAACATCAAAAGAAGATGGAAGGAATACACAGTCACTGTACCAAAAATAAGTGGTTGACATTCAATTATTTCAGGAGGTAGCATATGATCAGGAACCGATGGTACTAAAGGAAGAAGCCCAAGCTGCACTGAAGGCACAGGTGAAAAACAAGGCTCCAGGAATTGACAGAATACCAACTGAGATGTTTCAATAAACGGATGCAGCATTGGATGTGCTCACTCGTCTGTGCCAAGAAATGTGGAAGACAGCTACCTGGCAAACCACCTGGAAAAGATCCATATGTAGGCCTATTCTGAAGAAAGATGATCCAACCAAATGTGGAAATTATTGAACAATATCATTAATATCACATGCAAGTAAAATTTTGCTAAAGATAACTTAAAAGCGGCTACAGCAGTACATTGACAGCGAACTGCCAGAAATTCAGGCCAGATTCAGAAGATGACGTGGAACCACGGATATCACTGCTGATGTCAGATGGATCCTGGCTGAAAGCAGAGAATACCAGAAAGATATCTACCTGTTTTTTACTGACTGTGCAAAATCAACTGTGTGAATAACAAATTATAGATAACATTGCAAAGAATGGGAATTCCAGAAAACTTAATTGTGCTCATGCGGAACCTGTACGTAGATTAAGAGGCAGCTGTTTGAACAGAACAAAGGGATACTGCATGGTTTAAAGTCAGGAAAAGTGTGCATCAGGGTTGTATCCTTTCATCATACTTATTCAATCTGTATGCTTAGCAAATAATCCAAGATGCTGGACTATATGACAAAGAACAGAGCATCAGGATTGGAAGACTCATTAATGACCTGACTTATGCAGATGATACAACCTTGCTTGCTGAAAAGTGAAGAAGACTTGAAGCACTTACTGATGAAGTCAAAGATGACGGCCTTCAATATGGATTACACCTCAACATAAAACAAAAATCCTCACAACTGG